TGTTAAATATTTTTTTTTGTTTTTTTATCGTGTCCTTAAATTTTTGAGTTGTTCTATACTTTATTTTTAATTACTAGTAGACTCATCGCTATCTATTTTTAATATGAAATTTATAGAAAAATATTTATCAATTTATTAAAATACATTTCAATTCATATCCATATGCATATAATATTACTCTTAAAAGTATTAATTCAATGAACTTTTGAATTATTATAAATCCTGATATTTTCAATAACTAGTTGTAAAATAATAAAACTAAAATTAAATAATGAAACAGGTAGAAAAGATGAAGAAAACTTACCTAAAGCATAAAGTATAAAAAGTTATTTACTTAACTAGTTATTTACTTATAAATTTTATAAAAGAAAGAGAGGTAACAATAATAAGTCAAAGAAAGAAGAAAGACTCTTAGTTAATTAATAGAAGCAAAAAAAAAAATGAAAAAAATAGTGAAATGTGATAAACATAAATATTGTGATATATATATTATACAATGTTGTAAGTTAACAATAACTAACTTGGGTTAATTAGTAGCAACAAGAAAAATTAAACATGCTAAGATATTATTAATATTCTAATATAAAAGGCATTTTAAAAAACAGAGGCAATTACATATTTTAATATATAAAATATTTTTAAAAAATAAGCAGGTAATTGCTCCCTTTTAACACTGTGTGGCTCCGCCACTAAGTTCAGCTATGTTATAGATTTAAACACATGTCTAGTAAAAGATTAAGCTCAATATCTCGAGCTCAATTGTGTGTTGATCCTACATGCATGTGAATCTAACGAGATGTCAAATTTAATTTTCCTGGGTTTAGTTATGTTGAACCCGAGTATACATAAATCTGATAAGATGTTAGACCCAACTAACACCTTCGGGTTTAGCCATGTGCATAGTCCGAGTGCATAGCGGTTTTACAAGATGTCAATCCCAACAAACTTTGAATCAGATATATGTCAAGTCTAAGTGTCTACAATTATGATAAAATGCCATCCTCAATGTCCCTAAACTCAACTATGCGTTAAGTTTAGGTGCCTATAAGCCTGGTAAGATGCCAATTCAAATGCCCTTAAGTTCAGTTATACATTGAGCTTTTGTGTTTATGGGTTTAGCAAGACGTTGGATTCAATATTTTCATGCTCAATTACGCATTGAGCATAACTTTTTATAAGCGTGATAAGATATCAGACCCAATATCATTAGGTTGATTTACATATTGAATCGGAATGCAAGTGACACTCGCAAAACATTAAACTTGATACTATCAGGATCAACCATAAGTTAAACCCAAATGTTTGCGAGTTTAACAAGATACTAGATCCAATACCTTTTAGGTTTAGTTACATACTAAACTTAAGTGCATGTGAGTCTAACAAGATACTTTATCCAATATCTTTAAGTTTGAAATTAGTCCAGGTTCTAATATACTTATAATTGAAAGGTTTTTTAGTCTTTGTATCAAGTCACAAGGCTATTTCATAATCCTCAATGTTAAATGTTAAGGATATAGAAAAATTATTTATACTTTTAGATATATAAAAGTTTTATAAAAATTTATCTTTGTCCAATCATTATTAATGATAATTAAAGGCTATTATTGTTAATATTAATATCATGTACAAAATAATATATAATAATATATAGAATATATTATAAATCCTTGATATTTCTATCAAGATTAACATTGATATAAAAATCATAAATATTAATGTTGTGTAATGAACAAGAACTTTTTTTCATTCAACAAAATAAAACAATTCAAAGATTATAAATATTTTTTTAACTACCCAATAAAGGGTTTATATTTTTTATGTGTTCATATTATATTAAAAAAATATTTTTAAGATTTTGTTTTTTAAAAATACACTACAATGCTAAACAGTGATGGTGACCTTGAAATCTCGATTCGTGCCCGGGTATGATGAAAACTCATGTGGAATAATTTCGACAGCTCCTTCAAGTTTATTAGAAGAAAGTAAGTGTTATATTTAAAAAATATATAAAATGAGATTATACTCTAAAGTTTTGGAAGCTGAAAACGTTTAATTTCTCTTGCTCTATAATAATCTGTTTTTAAAAGACTCATTGTTTAAATTCGTGATTTCAGCTGTTCAACTTCAATCATTCAAAAAAACAAAAAAAAAACTAAGCTAGTGACGGCATCGCTGTCTGTTTTTATATTTTAAAAATATTTATATATTTTTTTTATTTTAATTAATTTTTTATTTTTTTCTAATATAATTATATTAAAAATAAATCTTAAAAAATAAAAAATAATTTAAAAATAACCGGTGATTGAGCTTGCAGCTTCTACTTTAGCTTTAGCTTGCTTTCTCTACCTTCTACCTTTGTTTTTTTCACAACCCCTCCATTTCCTGGAAATATCCTCCAGTAAGTGCAACAGCGATGATAATTCAATTGTAGATATCTGTAAAATCCATGCCTCAAACAAACCCTAATAAAAACCAAGAAGATCAATCAAAATCGATGGTAATGTCTCACAATTCACGGCACTCCATAGAATCCTGCACTCTCCAGCTCCACTCATGGAGACCCTTTCTCGATTCCGACCCCCCCACTAATTCTAAACCCTACGCGTCTTCCCGTACTCTCCCTAAACGCCCCTGCCTTTCCGATCGCGCCACTTCTTTCCCTTCTAACATCGATTCCATCGACATTTCCAAGCTCTCTCTCCTCCAAGACGACGACAACAACAACAAACCTATCCCCGCCACTCCCGCTGTTACCAATAGTCCCTACAAACGAGGTACCTTACGCCTTATCGAGCGCAAGAGGCGTCGCAGAGGATCCCGGTCCGTGTCCGGCCGGAGCTCCGATAGAAGTGGAACCTGGCGGTGTTGCTCTGTTGGTGCGGCTCATGGGACTTGCTCGGATTTCCCTGTGGCGGTGGGGACGGACTCTAGTGGGGAGCTGTTTGTGAATGGGGATGCGAATTGGGCGTCGGATGTTGGTGAAGCAAAGAATTCGATAAAAGAGAGGGAGGAGAAAGAGAATTTGTTGGGAGTGGGCAGTGCTTTTGGGAATTTGGATAGTGAGTCTGGGTATGGGAGTGAACCTGGGTATAGGGGGGATGCTGAGTTTGGTTATGGAGATGAGGTTGATGAGGAAGAGGATGATGCCAGGCTGTTATTTTGGGGACACCATTTTCAAGGTACGCACAGCTTTCTCTCATGTTTTTTGAAGATATTTTTTTTATTGACTGTGTGCAAACCTTTCCTTGCTCCTCCTGATGCAGATTCTAAGATGGAAATGGTTGGAGAGAACACCTTTGATCCAAAAACCCATCACAGATGTCGTCGCAGGAAGCATGATTATAGAATGGTTGACTCATTGAGATAACTCACCCGGTTGTTGGAAATAGGAGGAGAAAGTGAGGTCTTTTTGCCACTGGTGTTTTGATAGTATTTACTGTATTAATTTCTCGCAACCCTCTGCTTTCAAATCCTCGCCAATTTTGTTTTAGAATCTCATCTCTGCGGCCGAGGTTGGATTTCTCCTTTGTTGTTGCATCAAGCGGCTGCTTTTTGCGGATTGATCCATACTAGTTTGTTTAAATGCCTATGACATGTCTAAGTAGTTTATTTGTGCATCACATTCAAACAACTCTAGTAAGAATTGTTGTTAATTTGTAAGTTATACAATTTTTTATTTAAGAACTTGTGTTGTCTAAATGGATTCAATGCTCGGCTACAATTACCTTTAATTACATCAATCAAGGAAAGAACTGAAAATTACTGGAGGCATCCCATGAGCCAGATTATTCCAGTCTTATTTGCCGAAATTTCCATGTCACAAACTCCATACTTTTTAGGAAACAACTAACCTGGTGTAGCTGCTTTTGAGTTGTTTCCAATTTTTCTTTTTATTTCGCAAAACACTATTAAGGGTAGGAAATCCAAAGACTTCAAACCAGGTTCTCACCCTTCATTAATGAACTGGAGTTATCCCCTGCATCTCTGTCCAGGAGATGACCTGCTTGTGTATCAGAAACCTTTCAAGCAGAGTGCTGCTAAGAGAAGTTAAGAAATTGTGAATAACTGACGCAGAACAAGTTAGCCTCAGAGTTCGAGAGCTGTTTCTTGACCTTTGTAATAGTGATTCAGGGGCTTTGGAAGAGTCACATGAAGCAGAAGAACAAGAGAGGTAACTCTGAACTCTGAAGCATCGTGAGATTTAATTGTAAGATGCGATGAAAAAGGTTATTGTAGGATATGCATATTGCCAGAAGAGTAATTTGTTGGATATTATGCATGACAGGAAAGCAAAATGAAAGCCAAGGGGGCATAATATATTCCAGTAATATCCCATTTACATTTTGAAGTATTGGACCACGACTCTGTGCCATGGTTGTAGTGATTTATTACCTTGATATGGACCGAATCTTTGGCTCAGCGAATCACGTGAATTCAACCCAAGTGTAATCGCGATCTCTTATAAGCAACTCTGCTTTGACGCCTAAAATAGCCGCTTCACGCAAGAATAGAACTAGAACATAGCAGCTTATAGTGCCTCCTGACTAAAAAAAACATCGCAGCTTATAGTGCTTCCTGACCTAAAACAACTTCCTTTCACTCTGGTCCCGCTTCCAGATCTTTGTTTCTGTGGTTTTCCACAAAACCCACATCTTTATAAACCATAACTATATTACTGCATAATCGTACATTTCAGTCAGCAATTAGCATTATCATATAATCAACTCAAGGCTGCCATGATTTATTTTGGTAATTTGACCCATCACTTCGGACACTGAGACATCAAGCTCCGTGATGCAGCTGAAATCTTTTTTGCTCATGCGTCACAGTTACCCATATAAAGGGAAACACCCAACAAATCTCCTCACCCAAATTCATGAGAGAAGCCTACCTAGTCACATGTTCTTTGTCATCAAAACCTAACTATTTCACTTCAGCTTCCTTCTCCACTCTTCCCTTGTTTATTGCACTCACCAGCCTCTTGCTTTTCTATCAAACCCGCTTTGGAAAGCTCCTATCTTCATTGAATTCACACCACTTGCCCCTCTTTAAAGCTTTCCCATAAAGGCTCTTACCTGCACAACTTTGCATTCGCAAGGATGTCTCTCACCCGATCTTCTATATAATGTCTCTCATTCTATAATCTGTGAGGTCATAGCATAGGTGTTCTTAGTCTCAATTTTTAATCTCTCCCCCGTTTCTTTTCCTTCTTTTGAAAGTATCATAAATATCATAGAATGAGAACTATCTCCATTCTCATCATTTTCCTTTTCCTTTCATGGCTAACATGTGCTACGAGCTGGGGTTCTGACAACGGGGACACTTATGTTCGAGAAGCATGCAGTGTGACTAGATATCATGACCTTTGCATGCACTCACTAGCATCCTTTTCGCACACTGCTGGGAGAAGTCCCAGCAAGTGGGCACGAGCTGGGGTTTCGGTGACAATAGGCGAGGCTAAGAATGCTAGTCAGTATCTGAATAAATTGAAGAAAGATGGAATCATGAGAGGCAGAAACAGGATTGCCCTTTCAGATTGTATCGAATGCTTCCAAGACGCGATGGACAATCTTCACAGATCACTTGGCATACTCAGAAAGCTTGACGCAACAAACTTCGATACACAGATGGGGGACCTAACTACATGGTTGAGTGCTGCACTCACAGATGAAGACACTTGCTTGGATGGTTTTGAAGATCAAAGCAGCAAACAAGTTAACATGCTTCAGAATCAGGTTACAAGAGTCACTTATATCACCAGTAATGCACTGGCTCTTGTTAACAAACTTGCAGCCGCTGGCTTGGGAAGCCTAAATGGTCCGTAGTCATGTCATATCAGCAGGGAACTGGGTCATAAATCAGAATATAAATGGAATAATCTAGCCTATCAAAGCTAAAATACATCTATCCCTTGTTTAATTGGTTGTCATGGCTACCTATGTATCTTCGGTTTCTCTGCTGGTATATAGCTACTGCGTTAAAACTTGGGCTCAAGCGATGCGTGTTGGCTTCTTGAGTCAGAAAATAAAAGCAGGGAAGCAACTGTGGTTTCATAAGTTCTTGTAAATTATTTCTGCTTGTCCTTAGAAAATAAAAGCAGGGCAACAACTGTGGTTTCTTAACAAGTTCTTGTAAATTATTTCTGCTTGTCCATCTATGCTATTTGAATTATTACACATGCCTAATTACTGCATCTATCTTTCCTTGATTAATATCTGCTGCCACGCCTCTCTTAGTTTGTTCAAGTACTGGTACTGCTTGGGTGGGGGGGCCAGGGGCCTTGTATGGTGATCAATGAAGATAGATTGTTGTTGAACTAGCAGACATGTTTGTTCCATTGCACATCCGTACACATCAAGAGCCCCATGGATACAATGAGGTACAAAAAGCTCTCAGATCTAAGATACGTATTTATCGTTGCAATACCAT